TCCTCTCTTTCCCTCCTTTGATGTGCCTTCAAGAAATATAATTATTACAGATGCCGTAGTACAATGGTATAAGGCTTAATATGAAGAGGTGAAACAGTTTGATGAATCAAGTGGTCAGTTTAGCGTCAGGGAAACAGGGAGAGGTTAGTATACATCCCATTGTGCATATTTTAGGGTCACTTGAAATAATCAACTTTGCATGAAGTGACTGAAAATAAATAAGAATTATCAGATCTAATAATGAAATTTTCCCATAATCAGAAAATGACCGAGGGGAAAACACTGGTTTCAAGCAATATGAAATTTGGATAAAATGAAACATGGTCAATACATGTCTTAATATTTTCAGAGAAAATGAAATATGCTTCAATGTTCAAAGAGTTACAAAATTGTACAAGGTCGACCAGATGCCACATAATCAGCTTATTATTCATCTGTTAGCTGACACCAACAATTAACAATTATTTTTGCTTATAAATAAAATAATATTTTTGACAGTTTAGTCAAAATCTTACCTTGGGTGGTGATGTAATCAAATGATTCAAGAGCTTCGGGAACATTTCGATATATATTCGGTGACAAGACATGCACCAAATGATTATCCACCCACCTATATAACAAGTCACAGCAAAATGTTCATATGTGGCAGCAGTTTGCATCCAATATTACAACAAAGACAACCACCAGTTGGGTTAAAATAAAACTCCTAATAATGGCCGCGGTGAGATACAACCATGTGTTACCAAAGAGAGGTAATGGTATGCAACCAAGTAATCCAAAAAGAAAAAATCTAGAAGACATAAATAATTAGAGAAGGAGAATAACCAACATACTTTCGCCACTTCTTCTCTTCTTCTGCATCTAGATCATAATCTGGATTTATCCTTTTAATCAACTTATCAATTATGTCTGCCAAAAGAAAAGGGGTGAGTTCAGTTAAAACAACAATTGCTTTAAGATCTAGATTAAGATTTAAGGATGTATAATGTTATATATGGGTTTGTTTGGATAATTTCTTCCATTAGAACTTTTACAGTGTTTGGTTGGAGTGGAGAAATTTTTTTTACACTTTTGTGGTTTGGTTCAATTTTTAAGAGAGAAAGAGAATGGAGGAAAGCAAAACACCACCTCATCTAATGTTAGCTCCCCCTAATATTGGGAGATTTGGAGGGAAGGGAAAGGGTTTTAAAACATTTTGAATGTAATGTCTAAGATATCCTCATTTATGTTTCTGAATTTAAAATTATAAGAACAGAAAGGTAAATTAGATTTTAAATCTCCCTTCTTCCCTTGTAAACCAAACAAGAAAAGAGTAACATCTCCTGCCCTCCACTAAAATCCCTCAACTCCACTCCTCTTGACCAAACATAATTTCTAATCCATCCCCTCCCTTCTCTTCTCCTCCATTAAAATCCCTCCCTCAATTAAGGGAAAAAAAATATGAAGGAAAACTCAAATAAGGTTCTCAATAACTTAATTGTAAGAATTCTCTCATATTAGCTTCTCCAAAAACTTGTTTTTAATTTATTAGCTTATGGGGAAATTTACTTCATTTTTCCTTTGTATTGTTTACCTATGAGTACTTATGAATAGGTTTTTCCAAAGAGGTCCATAGTACAAACCACAAATGAAAGAATCGATAAGAGAGATAAGAACCTGAAGAATCAACCATTTTTTCACCATCAACTGTGAGGATAGGCACCTTCTTGTAGTCGGACCATTTAATTTCCTTCTTGTTGATGGGGTTGACCTCAACCACTTTGAATGGGATATCATAATAGTCCAGAAACGCTGGCAAAATGAATGATGAAAGAAATGTTAGACTAGATAGAGAAAGTTAAAAGGGGAATTGATTTGAGCTCACCTGCAACCTTGTTGCAGAATGGACAAGCCTGGTACTGAAAGAGGACAACTTGTTTGGGTTTGAAATCTAAGTGTTTGGTGTGGGCGTCTTGAGCGAGAGAAGTGGCAGCAGCAGAATTGTATTTATATCTAAAGGCGGTGACAGTGGGAACAAGAGAAGGATTTGGTGTGGGTGTGGCATGGGGAAGCACTCGATGAAGGGTGGCAATAGCACCGGATGCGGCGGTGAAATTGCTTCTTAAGGCTCTGCCTAGAACCATTGCTCTGTTCACCCCTCTCATCTTCTACCCAAAACAGAGAAACGACCCTCTTTGATCTGGCTACCAACGACTTTGGGGTTTAGGGTTTAGCTTCTTCTTTTTCGACTAATAAATAATCTCATTATAACATACATGAGATCATATATTATATATTACAACCTGAACTCTTATATATAAAAATAATAATAATAAATAAATAAAAATACTTAATTCATCAAATTTAAAAAATTAATTAATTAATTAGTTATAAACGACAATATCATGATTTAAAAATATTCTAAAAATATTTATTAATGAATTATATTTAATAATACTACCTAAAAGTTATCAAATCTTTTGATCAAATAATTATAAGATATTTTCAAACCTCTTAACTCAATAATTATAAAATTTGTCTCGAAATATAAAAGTTCACAAACATCAAACTCTAAATATTTTAATTCAAAGATATAAGTAACTATTACTTATGTCAACTAATGTTAATCAATATATAATGAATGAGAAAAAATGAATAATAAATAAAAAAAGAAATGTTAACACTAATAATAATTCTATCCAACTTGACTTGGTTAAAAAAAAAAAAAAGTCATAGAAATAGGTGGAATGGGGAGGGTAGAATAATAAATGATTTAAAGGAGTAACAAAAAAGTATCCAACTGAATGGAAGAAAAAAAATAATTACTATTATGAAAATGAGTAGGAAAATGGATGAAATTTTATGCAAACAACGGGGGAAAAGTGGAAATGGAAATGGACCAAAAGTGCGGTGGCAAAAGGAAAAGTAGAATTCTAAAGGCTAAGAAAAATGTAGCGACTCAAATGGAAATGGACCAAAAGTGCGGTGGTAAAAGGAAAAATAGAATTATAAAGGCTAAGAAAAATGTAGTGACTCTCAAGGCAGGTGCTCTGATCTAACACCAACTTGAGTGTAAAATACATAAAAGCTACACTGAATAAGCTATAATTACTTCCTTTCCTAAAATAAAACCTATTTTTCATCAAAACTATCCTTGTAACAAAATAATTTACAGAAATTACGATGGATGCTTAGCAAACAAAGTGAGATTATTAAGATATAATTTCACATGCAGTTTCGCGTTTCATTACAGCTATCGCTCAATAATTTTAATCTGCAATGATATAATTGACCTTTCTGTTGTGATGCTACCAGTTCAACGAGCAAAGGATTTTTATGGTGCTCAATTCAATTATGATCCATCATAGTTTATCATATATTACAATGCATTCCAGGTTCATGAAGTGCAGTGTACTACTAACACGAAGAATGAATGAAGAACACGGCACACAATTGATACTGATGTAACATCTATACAACTAAATGGAACATGATGTGGCAACAGAAATAGGAGCACACTGTTAGTAATAACTTATAATAAGCGACTTAAATTGGCCAACACCATAAATAGATTTCATACACGACATCACGAATACAGTCCAGGAATATGATCGCATTAAGCATTGTCTCGTAGGCCACTAAGTATAATGAATAAATAAGTAAAGGAAATGGACGGTTATATAATCAAGCTAATTGTAGTTACAGAGTATGAAATGAGGAAAGACACTTCAATGCGAGTTCAAACTGTACACCGCTTCCTGCTCACTATAGAGGGAGAACAAGGAACAAAATAATACAAATTGATGGAGAGGCAGCAATAAAGATTCGTAAGATAGTCACTACTGCCCACTGTTAATTTCTGGTCCTAAATCATAATATGGAGCAAGCTTTTTGTGCCTTTCTCTTCTTTTTCTTTTGCTTTGGTGGTTGAAGAACCACTTTGATGGCGGCGTCAAAGACAGCTTTCACATTCTGTCATCCCAAGATCACATGAGAATCTGTGATATAAATGACGGGAACAATCGCAAGCAAAAGATAGAAAGTACACCTGTTGCGTTTTTGAACTACACTCGATGTAGGCTGGAGCACCAATCAGCTTTCTCAACTCTTCTCCCTTCAACCAAAGTGAAAACAAATAACAATGAGAAGATCAATAATATTCTGAATCAATAACTCGTACCTCCCCCTCTATCAAAAGAAATGGGCGGGGATAAGAAAATTTATGGTATTTCGTACCTGTGCTGTAGTAATTGGCATTGCACCAGGGTGGTCCATTAAAAATTGCTTATCCTCCCGAAGATCTGCACAACAGTCAAGCATTTACAGTTGTCAAATCATTTCAATTTTGGATATGAATTGGCTAGAAACTGTTATAAGAAGCATTCACCAAATAAAGGAATTTAACTGTGAATTAATATCATAGTAAGAAAAATAATTGCTACTTTTGTTATGTTTCTTCAAAAACAACCTAGACACAAGTTTTATGAACTCTGTCCTGCATATATTTTCTTCTCACAGAACAAATCAGATCAGAATTGCCACAAATTCACTACACTGATGCTAATCCAATTTGTTTTAAGCATTGAGAAAATGTTATTTTCAGCGAAATTTTAGTCCAACTTTTGTGGGTAGTATACATCAGGGTACTATTATTACTACTGAATCACTCGAGAATAACCAAAGAATAAGATCATTAACTCCAACATTGGTAAAATCATTTCATACTCTAGTCTAGGTTGGTGTGTAAATAAAGAAATTAAGAAGAAAATGTCCTAAAAAAATTGCCACAAATTAGAGTATATTGATATGATAAGGTAATAAACTCATGTGTGCTATGAAGCTAAGAAAAGAAAAGTCTTAGGACTTTTAAATAACTAAAGATAAGCAGGAAGCTCTAGCATGATCCTATGGGTTAATCAGTAGCGTATACCAAACCAATCAATGAAGGGTGGGGTAAAACCTTACCTAACTTTGTTCCAACTAGAATTATTGGAACACCAGGGGCGTAATGCCTTAGTTCAGGGATCCACTGAAAGAAGAAATCATAAAGAACAATAACTTTATCAGTTATATCAAACTAAGTGCATAAATTGATTTAAATTATCACTATCCCAATTGAATTCTTCACATGAAAAAAATCAACCTTCTTTGCGATATTTTCATAGCTCGCCTTGCTTATGAGTGAAAAGGCAAGTATGAAGACATCAGCTCCTCGATAGCTCAATGGTCTTAGTCTATTATAATCCTCCTGACCTGTTAATCAAACAATAATAAGCAAAATCACACTGAAAATGCTATCAATATCTATTGAACTGAATTGGTTTCCATGTTACCAGCAGTATCCCACAATCCCAGGTTTATAGTGCTTCCATCCACCACCACATTAGCACTGAAATTGTCAAAAACGGTGGGCACATAGTCCTGTTATCGACAGACAAACATAAACGTTGAAGCTTGAAACCGTGAAGCTATAATTCGTCAAAGAACATGGCAATATAAGACAACCAGTATCCATTAATCACAATTTTTGAAGGACAACTTTGCACTCTAAAAATTGTAAGACCTTCCAAGCACGAATAGATAAGCTATAAAAAGAACGTCATCAAGGTTAAATGATATCTCAAGTTGTAACTAACAAATAATGTTGAAGCAGTAGGTTCATTAAGATGCAGGGACATTTTATTCATTTCAAAATACATGAATGAGAGCAAGTCCATCGCATATATCTCTAATTTCAAGTGCAAATAGTAATAATTGAGAAAGAAAAATGTGAAAGGGAAAAGAAAGAAGGGAACCGTGGGGAAAGTGTTGCTGGTGTAAGAAATCAACAAGCAAGTTTTTCCGACAGCACCGTCACCGACGGTGACGCACTTAATGAACCTGGACGCGCTCATTTTCAGATCAGGGATCTAGCGAGCCAACAAAGCCTCTTACTAACTTGAAACACTGAAACCAAGTAGCATGAACCCTAATTGCTATTTGCAGTGGCAGACACAAATAGAGGAGAAAAGGGGGGGAAACTAAATTGAATTGAACATAGGCGAATCAAATTCAAAAGAAGAAAAAGAAACTGAGAAAGAAAGAAAGAAAGAAAGAAGAAAAGAAAAGAAAAGGTTTGAAAATTGAATCAGGGGAGAGAGAGAAGAGCATTTGCCAGCTACTATTTCAAATTCGTGTGATAATTATTACAGTGTATTAAATTAATACGTACATCCTCATGCCCTAATCCTATCCTCGACAAATTATTATATGTTCCGGTCCGCACCAATTTAAAAAATACTTCCTCCTTTCTTTATTATAAAATACTATAATTTAAGAAAATAATATTTTTATAAAATATTTTATAATTCTTAAAAACATTAAATTTTTTTAGTATTAAAAATTGTAAAAATATGCACTTTTCTCTTTTATATTTATCCATTTTGTTGGTAAAACTCCCAATTGATATTTATTTATTTTGTTGGTATTAATATATAAGTTTTGGCATAAAATAATATTTTTTTACATTCTTTATAAAAATGTAATGATTAAAAATGACAAAATTAGAAATCATAATTTTATTTTATAATTTTAATAAAATCGACCAACATAGCATTACTTATATTAGTCTATGATTTGACTAAAAGTATCAAATAATTGTTGATCAAGTTGAAGATAAAGACATGAACTTAATTGTTTTTTATGATTATAAATAAGTTTTTTGAAAGATAAGAGTGTAACATGCAGTGTTATTTTGTGTTTTGAGCCTCTTAAAAGAAAATAGTGTGAGTTGTATCTTGTTTGTGTATTTAAAACTTTGTTGCTTGTGTGCTTCATATTTGGTAAATAACTTAGCGTTAGATTTCTATCTAGATGATGATTGATGAAGAAAATGAGTTTTAAAATTGATTTATAAAGAGAGATGGTATAAAAAATTGAGATATTAAATTTTCACTTAAAATAATTATTATTTTAAGTAATAATCAATTATTTCCTTTTTTTTAGTGGCCTGATGAGTAGTTACTATAATCATCGATTATTGTTCAAAATAATCGATTAAACTATTTTTTTTATTGATTTCCAACTTTTCTAATAAGAAAATAATTGATTGTTCATGTAAATAATTGATTATTTTAGTCAGAAAACTTATATATATTATTTTTTACACTAGACAATGAGACTTTAATCTTTATGATATCTTTTTTCAAAAACACTCTATTATAAACGTTTTTTTTTTGTATGAAGAGGTTATATATAACTTTTGTGATAACCTCAAGAAATATTTTAAAAATTGATTTGATCATCATATTCATGGATATTAAGAGAGTGGGAGCAAGAATGGAAGGCATATAACCAATTGATAAGAAGGGCAAGTTAGTCTTTTGCATAGTTTGTAATGGTTATAAAAAGTTGCCTCATATTTTTTTTAGTAGCAAAAGGTAAAACTTTTGTCATGTATATATTTATTTAATTTGTATTGTCTCACGATACTTTTAAAACCAAATATTAAACAAAAATAGTTGTGTTGTCCAATTTTGCAAAATGTGAGAAATCAAACGCACCCAAAATTTACTAACTTGAAGCAAGTCAATCCTAATGTATACACCAATTCATCGATCATCTTACACCAATTTTAAATCGGCAAATGAACCAAAACTTCCTCTCTTTGTATATAGACTATAATGAAATGTTGAACACTCGGGGTTCACACACATATATCTTTATATTGGTATGATATTGTCTACTTTGGGCATAAATCTTTATGCTTTTGTTTTTAGTCATCTCTCAAAAGTCTCATACCAATGAAAAACTATATGTGTTTTATAAACCTTTGTTTTTTCTCACAATCCAATGATGAGGGATTTTGTTTATACCTAACAAATATCCTCTCAAACAAAGGATCATGGTTTAACCTTCCTTCAATGAAAACCTTTTTTTTTTCATCTACAAGTATTTAATGGTGGCCTTTAGAGTTTTAGCCACACCTATCAGCTCTAGATACTTGTATCAACATTAGCTCACATCCACAAGACATGTTGTCTGACCTCCACACTACTAGAAAAACTTTCAACACAAGGGATCTCACACTTGAATCCACAACCTCCCATTGCTAAATACTTGTTTTAGACTCTAAGACGGTCACCTAATCAATCATTGGCTTTGATACCACTATTGGACACTCAGGATTCACACACACACATATTTTTACATTGATATGATATTGTCCACTTTAGGCTTAAACCCTCATGATTTTGCTTTTAGTCATCACTCAAAAGACATTATATTAATGGAGACTATGTTTACTTTATAAACCTTTATTTTTCCTCATGATCTAATGATATGGAACTTTGTTTGTAACCGAACATGAACTTAATGAAAGGATTTTTAGAAGAAAAAAAAAATCAACCATTCAAAATTTTAAAATTATTCTCTTAACTACAACATTTTTAAGAATTTATTAAAAATGTAATGATTTAAAAAAAATACAAGTAAATATAAAACACAAGTAACCCTAACAAACTATAATAATATATCATAAAAATCAAAATAAAAAGGAAAGTACTATAAAAACACATTATGTAATTGATTGAATAAAAGATTAAAATGTAAATGTATAAGATTATTAAATATAATTTTTTTCTAACAACTAATAATAAATGTTTTTTATTCATAAACATAGTTTGTGTAAAATTTTAAAATTGATAACTAAATATTAATCTAAATTTATTGGACGTAATTTTTGTAACATCTCTCATATTTGACATATCAACGATTCCATACATTTCACGCGATAACATTTCACACAACTCCTCATTGGTTAAAATCCTTCACATGTCAGAACCCCTTATAGGTAACCCTTTTTGAGATGTTTAATCGCCTCTAAGATCAATAACTATCCTACAAATCAACAAAATACTTTTCAACATATTTTGTCTCTACTCGGACACTTTTTTGATAAACCTCCCAAAAAGTCACTTATCATTAAATTGCTTAAAGTCAAATACATTTAACAGTTCTTATGTGATCAGTTACCGAAAAGTAGATGCATTTTATTGGTATAAATAGTATAAATTAATTCATTTAAGTCATCATCAACTTTAAAGTCTCACATTGTATATATAAATCATTGGATCCCTCTCATTTTGGTGTGTCAGAGTTGTAACAAGCCCACCAGTTTTTTCTTGGTTCGTCTCCAAATCACACCGTATTATGAGAGAAAACCTACTATGATACCATTTGTAACACCCCTTAGATTTGACTTCTCAACGACTTCCCTCCACGATACTTCATATGATGACACTTTGTAAGACCCCGTTCATATATTCTTTCTCCCTTCTCCCTACTCACTTCACTCTTCTCATTTTCTCCCTCTCAACTCACTTTCTCTCAATTCTCCTTTACTCTCTCTTTTCCCTGTTTCCTTTTTCCTCTAATCTTGGGTGGCAGTGGTGATCTTAGGAGCTGAGTAATGGTGTTGGATTGCTAGTTGAACCGTGCGGAGCTCCTCTTCAAGCTTCTTCTTCTCCCTTCTCTTCCCGGAGCTCGAAATCGTCTCACCGAGGTAAGGGAAGTTAGTTTTACTGCGTTTTTGGCTGAAATGAGTCTAGGAACTCATTGTGATTGCTGATGATTGATGGTTCTTGGCTAATTTGGTGAAAAAGGGGTTTTTAGGGAATTTCGGGGTTTGAAGAAATTTTGGGGTTTTAATGAATTGTGTTTGCATGTTGGAAATGAGGCATTTTTATTGATATTTGATGAGAATGGAAGCTTTTGGATGGTTTGCATGTTGGATTCCTGGTGTTTTTCGCAGGTTTTCATGAGATTTTCGAAGTAGGTAAGGGTTCTTGTTTGAATTTTTGTCGGGCGCAGTTCTTCGCGCCGGGCTCGAATTGAAAAGGGGAATCTCTGGGTGAATCGCGCCGGGCGCGGGTAGAACCACGCTGGGCGCAATAGACATCTGTAGGTCTCTGGTTGGGAATTGCGCCGGGCGCGATTTTTAACGCACCAGGCGAGCATTTGATGTTTAGAATTTGACTTTATATTCTTCATGAAAGTTGTAGCCTTGGATGTTAGCTTTGTTATAGCCTCTATGTCGGTGTTGTTAGCCACTATTGTGGTGCTGTTATAGCCGCTAAGTCAGTGCTGTGCTCCGTGCTGATAGGAGCTGTTGTAGGCCGAAAAGCTGAGCTGTTGTAGGAGATCTCCGAGCTGATATGCGTGACGACGCATTGTGTGTTTACTATTATTTATCGATGTGTACAGTTGTTATTGTTGAATGATGTGAGATGTGTGTTGTTATATATATATATATATAGATGATGTTGTTAAGCTAATTGATGTTCTGATACCTGTAGCTGTTTACTATTCTTAAATTTATGTATATGTATGTTGTTTCTTTCACTAGGTTACCCTTGTTGTTTCCATGTGGTTTGGACTACGATGATCATATACTATGTATGGGAGCAGGGCAGGGATAGGTTGGTGGCTTGTGGCAGGTCTGTAGCTGGCAGATAGAGCTTACTTCTTATGGATGTTTTGGTGTTTTTGCTACTTGGTGTAGTAGCTCTAGATGTATTTTTGTACATTTTGAATCTAGTCAGACTTGGACATGTATATATGTATATTCTAGACACTATATGTATACACTTGTTCTTTTCTGTCCGGTTTCAGGTGTACGGTGTGGTGTGTAGTGACCAGCCGGGTCGTTACACTTTAGTGGTATCAGAGTAGTTCGAGTCTAGTGGGCACTCTTTGGGGGTGGTTCCTTTAGGCTTTTGTTGTGTTGAACTCTGTGTTGTGCTAACTTCTTGTAATCTTGTTGTGTTGTTTGTCGTGCTGATTGCTGTGTTGTTTTGCTGTGGTGTTGATTACTGTGTTGTTGATGGTTGTTTGGTTTAGTTATTGTATACTGAAGATGCTGTTACTTCTGTAGACAATGACTATAACCAATGAGCTGATAGTCCGTGCTATAGAGATGATGGCTATGGCTATGCAGTAGCAAAATTCTTATTTTTCTAGGATGGACGCTGATAGAGCTGCAGCTGGTGCAGCAAGGCCCTTGGGGTCGTAGGAGAGCCGAGATCTAGCTGAGTTCTAGAAATGCCGTCCTCCTCAGTTCAAGGGAGATGCAGACCCAGAGGTAGCTGACCACTGGATTTGTGAGATGGAGAAGATCTTCACTGTGTTGGGATGTTCTCAAGAGAGGAGACTGGCATATGCTGTCTACATGCTAGTTG